CAAATCACCGATGAAGATATTGAACAGTGCGGGCCCAAGGACTAAGCCCTGGGGAAGTCCACTGCCCACATCTCTCCAGGTCAAAAATGACCCGTCTACTACCACTTTCTGGGTGTGGCCCTCCAGCCAATTTGTGACCCATCTGACTTCATATGCGTCAACACCACAGACGCCTAATTTTTTAATGAGGATGGGGTGAGAGACCGACAAAGGCCTTCCTAAATTCCAGGAAGACTTATGTCCACCATGAGACCTGTGTCCAAGGCTTTTGTAACCTGGTCAGAGAAGGCCACTAGGTTGGTCTGACAGGACTTGCCTCTAATGAACCCGTGTTGATTTCCCCTAAGCATAAACTCCCCTGCTAGCCCCTCACAGATGTGCTCCTGGATAATTTTCTCAAAAAGCTTCCCCAAGACCGAGGTAAGACTAACGGGTCTATAGTTTCCTGGGTGGTCTATCCTCCCTTTTTTGAAAATGGGGACCACATTGGCCTTTTTCCAGTTGTCAGTTACATCACCAGAGCACCACAAGTGCTCGTAAAGCTGTGCCAGGGGTCTTGCAATGACCTCTGCCAGTTCCCTAAGCACTCTGGGGTGGAGGTCATCAGGACCTGCTGATTTGAACACATCTAGTCCCTCCAGAAGTTCTCTGACTAGCTCCTCACTGACCCTGGGCCTGGCTGTGCCTCCCCTGGGTCCATCTAGAATCCCAGTGGGGGGATGTCCCTGTCTCTGCTCAGAAAAATGGAAGCAAAGAATCTGTTAAAGAGATTAGCTTTGTCATCTGGTGCTACCACCAGATTACCAAGCATGTCTTGCAGAGGCCCCACATTATTTTACCCCCTATGTATTTAAAAAAGGACTTCTTGTTATCTTTGATTGGGGTTGCTAGTCCCAGTTCTATCTCTGTTTTAGCCTTCCTAATAACCCCCCTACAATCTCGAGCCAAGAATCCTCATAGGTGATGGCCCCACCCTTCCATTGGGTATACACCTCCTTTTCGGTTTTGAGGTGTTTGTGGATGCTTTCAGTGAGCCATGTGGGATTTTGAGCACGCTTGCCCCCTTTTATCCACGTGGGGATTGTCATGCTTTGAAGTTCTGGGCGCCGCACTTCAAGAGGGATGTGGCTAGCATTGAGAAGTTTGAGAGGAGGGCCACTCCTATGGTAAAGTGGCAATGGAGAAGAGGCTAAAGAGCCTGAACCTATCCAGCTTCCACAAGAGAAGTCTGAGAGGGGATCTGTTGGTTGTTTTTTTTTCCTGCTAAGATAAGGAGAGTTGAGAACAAGAAGGAAACCAGTTGAAGGCAAGAATCCCACATCTATTTTTTCAAAGCCATTATTACCTATTCCCTAGAATTGAGATGTCACAATGTACTTGCAGTTCTCTGCAAGTGGTCTTCCAGAGAGAAGCTGAATGTTCTTCAGAATTAATGAAAAGGCATAATTCAGCCAGGTGCCAGTAATACTTTAATTAACTCCTTCCATTTGGGGATATTCTGCAACACCCAGTGGCTGAAAGTAAGTGTAAACTTAGCTAGAAATATTCGCATAACATAGCAGTTACCTGCAAATGAAAGATTTAGTCAACCACACTATCTAAACTGGGAGATACGCAGTGCTTTTTAAGACTGAGTGCCTTAACATGCACTAATTATATACCCTGTACATTTAGGAAGCACTTCTGAGAACCAATTTTTCACCAGTGGATTTAAAAAAAAAATTAATGAGATTTATTCCCCCCCCCCCA